ACCCATACCCGAGCCCAAGTAACATGGGCTATAGTTGCCAATGGTTGTAGTGGCAGTCATAGGTTCAACAAATATTTGGTGTCGACGGTAAGGTCTGTTTTTTCTTGATCAGTGGTCGAGTGGCGGCGCCGTGGCCATAGTAAGTCATGATCGTTGGTGCGCTGCCAGATTACACTTCACTGCGAATTTCTCTGCTTCTTTTGGACTTGATTTGGGTATTCTGAAATAGATTCTGGATTTGATTAGAATTGTAGGCTAATTAATTGGGCTCTAGCTATGAATGCTATTATTAGGCTCTAGTAATTTTGTTGGCCTTAGTTTGTGGTTGGATTTTGTTTGGGCTCATTTTGTGATTTGATTTCTTCTGGCTCTAATTTTTAGTTTGTAGGCTGATTATTTTTTGGACTCTCGTTATTACTGAGTTAGTCACTTGGTTTGTGGTTGCCTGTTATTCTCTACGGACCAAGTACTAGTGTGTGGTTAAAATTATTTCATACAAGATGAAGATGTTCAATTTGACTGGATCCATGGCACCAAAATAAAAAAAATAAAAAAATTGAATGAAAAAAATTACACTTATTAAGCTAGGTGTGTCGAGGTCTTCTTACAAGGTAAGGGTTTATATAACCACTTGATTCTAAACAAGCCGTCTGCCAAATCCTCAGAAAGTAACTCTATAAAGACTGATTCTAATCTATGAGACTTTCAAACAATATTTTGGGTTTAAGAAAGGCTCCTCCAGCCTTGTTGAGTATTATAATAAACTTTTGGTTGTGTGTCAAGAGCGGAATATACATCAATATCTCTCTTGACTTGAAGGTTATGGAAAAATAGCGAGAAGATACTGATGTTATTAAATTTCTTATTAGTCTTCCACCAGATTTTGAAGCCGTCAGGGCACAGATATTGGGTGGAAAAGAACTTCCCAGTTTTCGAAAGATATTCTTTGGTATTCAGTGCTCTACTCTCTCTGATAGTGTACCTAGCAGAGATCATTCTGCTTTTATTCCTCGGGGTGACTCATTTAAGGGTGGACGTAGCAGTCGAAGTGAACGTGGTGTTTGTTCCCGAGGAAGACAGGACACTAGGAGCAATGGTCGTTTGGGAAATCGAGAACCTTGAAAATGTACTCACTGTGATGTACAAGTCACTCCGTTGATTATTGTTGGGAATTACATGGCAAACCATTTAGTTCTGCCAATCAGGTCTTGTTTAATGAGAACCATCACCAAGTATCTGGACCTAACTAACTCTAGCTAACACAAGGATCTGATTGCTTAATTGTACTTGTTTATGAGAACCATCACCAAGTATCTGGACCTAACTAACTCTAGCTAACACAAGGATCTGATAGCTTAATTGTACAAAAGGATGAGTATACTAAGTTTTTACCTCATAAACAAGCAGCTCCCACTTCTAGCCACACTTGCTCAGTCAGATAGTGCATCTTCTCACTGTCTATTGCCATCTTCTCACAGTTCATGAATTATCAATTCAGGTGCAATTGAACACATGACTGATTCGTCTACTTCTCTTCTTGATTATCATCACATTACTTCTTCCAAATGTGTCACTCTGGTTGACGGTTCCCAAACTAGGGTTGCAAACTCGGGCAATACCCGTCCTAGTTTTAATATTAATCTATCAATTGTCCTTCTGTTCCTAGCTTTCCCTTTAGCTTATTGTCTATCAGTAAAATTACCAAAACTCCTCAGTGCTCTTTAACATTTTATCCCTCCTTGTGTGTTTTTCAGAATTTCAAGACGAAGAAGATGATTGGTATGGGGCACAAAGTTGGTGGCTTGTATTACTTGGATATTTCACTAGTCTCTCCTCCTCGAGCTCTCCAATCTTTTGTTTCACCCATGCAATGGCATTGCCGTTTTGGTAACCCTTCTCTATCCACTTTAAACGTTAAGTTGTGAGTCTTCGTAATGTGTCCTCCCTTAAATGTGATCTTTGTTAGCTTAGTAAACATCACCGCATATCTTTTCCTTTATGAACTAGTAGTCGTGTTTCTAGTTTATTTGAGTTAGTTCATTTTGATGTATGGGGATCAATCAATATTTCTTCTAATACATTTCCATATTTTGTCACTTTTGTGGATGATTATTCTCGTATGACTTGATTGTTTCGAATGAAAATTCATTTTGAGTTACTTTCTATGCTCCCATTTGGCCCCCTTTTTCTTTCATTTTTTTCTTCTCGCACTTATTTTTTACCACACAATCTTCCATAAAATAATATTACACGTAAATCGAAAAATTTTCCTCATTTTTTAACCACACATTCTTCAAAAAACATTATTCCAAATATTAAAATTTGAAAAGAAAGGGGGTCCAAATGAGGGCTATATTTCAAGTCTTTCATTCTTTGATCAAAACTCAATTTAACAAGAAAGTCCATATTTTGTGTTCTGATAATGCCAAAGAATATATGTCTGCATCTTTTACTTCCTATTTATCTTTTAAAGGCATTACTCATCAAACATCTTGTGCATATACTTACAATAAAATGGAATTGTAGAACGTAAAAATCGTCATTTATTAGATGTTACTCGTGCTCTTCTTTGTCATATGCATGTCCCTAAACATTTTGGGAGTGATGCTGTCATTACTATATGCTATCTCATTAATCGCATGCCATCCTCCGTTTTGAATGGTGCATCTCCCTCCTCTCTTTTGTTTTCCTCATCTCCACCATACTCCTTATCTCTTAAGGTTTTTGGGTGTATTTGTTATGTTCATTTCTTTGGTCCCGATCGTGACAAAGTTGACTCTTGCTCTATGAGATGTATTTTCCTTGGTTATTCCCAAACATAGAAGGGATATCGTTGCTACAATCCTTTTTTGCAAGGCTAGTTTGTAAGTGCAGATGTTACCTTCGATGAGTTTACAACTTATTTCTTTGATCATGGTACGTCTCCCAAATCCACTTGAGATCCCATTAGCTTACTTGTTTGATATCTACCAGTTGGTATTTCTTCGAAACAAGTCTCGTCTTCATCTATTATACCAGAGTCATCATTTTCTCATAAGGAACCACTTTTTCTTTTACGGGTTTATACCCGACGAACTAAGTTACCATCGCCCATGGCCCCATCCATTGTCTTGCCATCTTCAGATCCTACTTCTGTCGTCTGTTCTGATATTGAGTCCTTGTCCACTGTTCTCCGTAAAGGTAAACGTATTTGTGTAACTAAATATCCTATCAACCAGTATGTGACTTTTGATTCGTTGTCATCTTCGTTTTCTTGTTTCACATCCCAGCTTTCAAGTGTTTTGTACCTAAGATGGTGATAAAGGCTTTTCCTGATCCTGAATGGTAAAAGACTATGGAATTGGAGATGACAGCCTTATACGAGAATAAGAATTGGGACCCTATTCCTTCACCACCTCGTATACGTTCTGTTTGTATTAGTTGAGTTTATGTTTTGAAATTCAATCCTGATGGGAATGTTGATTAGTTGAAAGCCGGATTAGTTGCTAAAGGCTACACACAAACCTATGGTATTGATTATGTGAAACGTTCTTTCCGGTTGCTAAGATCTCTTATATTCGTGTTTTAATTTCTATTGTTGCTAAACTTGATTGACTAGTGCTCTAGTTGGATATTAAAAATGCCTTCCTTCATGGTAATTTGCATGAAGAGGTTTATATGGAGCAACCACCTGAGTTTGTTGCTCAGGGAGACTACCAGAATTATGTTTGTAAATTGAAAAAGGCTTTATATGGGTTAAAGCAATTATCAAGGACATGGTTTGGAAAGTTTTCTGAAGTTGTCCTAAAATTTGGTCTTCAAATGTGTCAAAAAGATCATTTAATATTTCATATACAAACTGGTGAGGGTCGTATAATCCTTATAGTTTATGTAAATGATATTGTAATCACGGTGATGGTGTAGATGAGATTGATCGGTTGAAACAGTTTCTACAAAAACATTTTCAGACCAAAGATCTAGGGAAGCTCCGATATTTTTTAGGCATTGAAGTTGTCAGATCTCAAGACACGTATTAACTTATCACAGAGAAAATATGTACTTGACCTGTTAGATGAGATATGTTTTCTTGAAATTCATCCAGTTGATACTCCCATGGATCCTAATGTAAAGCTTTTGAAGGTGAAGGAGAATCATTTGGAGAACCAAGAAAAAATCGTCGTTTGATTAGAAAATTGAATTATCTTACTATCACAAGACTAGATATTTCTAATGCAGTCAACATTGTTAGTTAGTTTTTGGATGCTCCTCAAGTTTCTCGTTGGGAAGCTGTGATATGTATTATTCAGTATTTGAAAAGGCCCCAGGTCTTAGATTATCGTATAAGCCAAATAGACATATCGAAGTAGAAGGGTTTACAAATACAAATTGGGCAGACTCCGTCAGATAGACGATCCACTACCAATTTTTGTACTTTTCTCAGTGGTAACCTTGTCTCTTAAAAAAGTAAAAAACAAACTGTAGTAGCAAGGTCAAAAACAGAAGCAGAATATAGGGCAATGGCTCATACTGCTAGTGAATTGACATGGTTGCAACACTTTCTTCAAAAAATCAACCTCTCACCCTCTACTCCTATACTAATGTTTTGTAATAATCAAGCTGCTCTACATATTGCATCCAATTTAGTCTTTCATGAAAGGACCAAGTATATTGAAGTTGACTGTCACTTTGTTCGGGACAAGATAGTACGTGGTGATGTGTGTACACCGTTTATGAAATATGTTTATGAAATCGTTGAACTGTAATCGATTGATATTTCTGTGTTCCAATCTAGGCTTACATGATATATATACTCCACCTTGAGGGGGGAGTGTTGAGAAGAAAATCAATTAGGAATAATGTATGTTAGGCAAGAATATTATTTGGTATATTTAGTTTCCATATATGTAGACGTTATTTTTCTATATAATAAAAGGAAGATGAGAGGAAGAGTTGACCTTCTTCTCTACTTATGCCAAACTCTCATTAAACAATTGGAAAAATGGAAGTGCAATTATGCTTACCATATCCCATCCACTGAAGCAGTTTTCAGATGATGATCCATCATTAGAAGCTGAGATATTGCAATAACCATGATAAGAAGATGCACAACAAAAAATTGAAATCCAAAATTTAACCCAACCCCAACATTAATCCATGCTCAAACACAAAAAGGAGCAAAACAGACATGGTGAAGCCAGAAAAATCTTAAAATTGGCATTGTCAAACCATCGTCTTGTGGAATAGCAGATGAAGGAGATCTCTCACTAGTGCTTTGATTAGGGACTGAAGTCATGCCAGCTGACTCTTCCTGCATGCATTACAGAAGTCATATGAAAGATTTAAGAGAAAATCTGGTATAATATCTAAGTATAGATTTTAAAGTACTTTGAGTACAGATTCTGGAAAGGCACAATTGGAGTAGTCCATCCCACAGTCAAGCTTATTATATCTAACTGCAGCACATTGTTCTCGGCTTCTTGAATTAACATGCTGAACGTCGCTTACTCCAGGCATTTTTTTGTTGGCACAATCCTCTGGGTCTAGTTGCATAAATGATTTAGCAGCATTACAACCGTGATCAATATCAGTAGCATCAATATTTACACAGGGTACATGGTCAATCTCCTTTGACAGAATTCCAGTTTCCGAGGAAACTAGAAATAATAACACAAATCATTATCGAACATGAAAATGTGGGCATTAAGCAAAACTATTGAAAGCATTTTGATAAAAGAAGAAAGTAACTGAGACTTATAATCCCTAACCCGCGGAAAACTCTTTCTCTTGTCAAAAACTCAATCAGCTTCTTCAGAAAATTCTGAATACCAATGTAAGGAAAAGAACATATTTCGATTGCCTATTCATAAAGTGCCAAGAGAATTCAAAACTTTAAAAATTTATTATAAAGATCGCCTTTAGCAACTGCACCTAGCTTCTATAAAACAAAAATAATGAGAAATGAAAATTTGGATGTGTAATATTATTTAAACCTGTCATCTAGGCTGTCTTATAGTAGCTAGGTTATATTCAACAAAAGGATAAGAAATGGAATTTGAATGAAGTGATAATGCTCAACTCTGTCATCCAGGTGTCTCTTATGTGATGAGAAATGCAAATTTTAATGAAGCGATGATATCCAAATCCATTGTCCAGGTGTCTTGTAGTAGCTTCTATATAACAGAAAGTGATCAGAAATAAAAATTCGTATGAAGCATCACCTGGTTGTATTACAGTATCTAGCTTGTACACAACAAGAGATAATAAGAAACGCAAATTCATACGAGGTCATAATATTAAAATCTTTCATTCAACTGAATTATAGTTTCCAGGGTAAAATATTATATCCACATGCTTGAAAAAAAAAAGTATCATCCGCTAATCGATAAAATTATCACAAAGAAATGTCTAAAACCATAAAAAAATTTGCAATTGACATTCTCTGTCTTATGAGCACCCTAATGTCAAATATCCTGCAAAATAAAAATCGAACTCAACCTTTGCCCAGGCAATTGTTCAAACAAATTGCCCAGTAATTTAACAATCTAACAGCATCAGCTCATACCGGAATCACATATAATTTCAACTATCAACAACAAAATTTCAGTTCTCACTATTAACATTTCAAACTCTCCATATCCACAGTCGGAAGCATACATATGCGTTCAAAGCTATAAGGAAAAATATGAACGCTTACCACGATGGAGAAAACTATACTTGCTCGAATTACTATTGGCAGCCATTTTTGTGAGTTCATCTTCTTCTTTGAATTCAAAAACATCAAGGGAATTACGTGAACTCTTCATTTTGTATAACAACATGTATCTATATTTATGTATAGAAATGTGAAGGGGAAAAATTGCAATATACGGAGGACAATGCAGAGAAAGAGAGAGGCGAAGATGGGGCTCGTCACGTTTCACTTTTCAGTTATTCCGTACACTGAAATTTTAGAAAATATTGTCTTTGGTCCGCAACCTATACACCTTAGTCACAACTTATACACCTTAGAAAATGAATTTTTGAATAGTATATTGATGGGAAATGTGTGGTTAAAAAATAAAAAAAAATTTTTGATTTGCGTATAATATTATTTTATTGAAGAATATGTGGTCGAAATGGTGTCAAATCACTGTTGAAAAATATATTTTGATGAAAAAATGAGGCTCAAACAAGGGCTTACTTCAATCTCAAGTACATTTACATGGAAATTTAAGATCATATATATACACACAAAGAAGAACAATGGTTGGTGTTGACCTCAAAAAATGTACATTCTATGTGACCAACGGATCCCAAAACTTCTCACGTCCACATAGGTTGTACTTCAACATACTAGGACAAACCGTTAGACACATGCTTGATGGTTCCCAATGCTTGTGTTGCGTGCGCCTTTACAGCGCAATGATGACAATTGTCACAATTGGAAGAGATCATTGGAGCTCCCGGTTCATGCAATTCATAAATTTATCATTGTGATTGATTAGAATTTCTAATAGGTGCCCATTGAGTTTAACGTGGTTGATGGTCGCGCAAGTGTTTGATCGAGATTAAATCTAGGTTGATCTAATGGTGGTGCTTTACTCAAGCTATCTAGGAAAAATCACCGGTTCTTGATTTTTTTTCTTTTGCGAAGAATTTCCAGGCTCCTTGAGAACTCTACTCTGAAACTTTTTGGTCGTCATTGCGATAGTTCTAGTGAGCATTTCGATCCGTACCCTTGCATAATCATTTTATGGCATCGTCCTTAAAAAAGAAAATAGTAGGGGGTCCATTTAGGAAAGTGGATATGGCATTGATTTGTACTGAGGTTGGTTTGACACAATTAATTCCAATTGAGAGGATTATGGAGGCTATAGGAGGACCCCACAGTGCTTGGATGATGCAGGAGCGCCCCATAGATTATAGCATTAGGTAGAGCTCTTGTGGCCGACCTGTGTGAAAGAGAGTGAGTTGGAGACCTTTGGGAAGAGGTGTAGGATTCCTGACACCATGGAGATGTTCGTTCCAACCCCTAGGGAGGGGAGTGTGGTGGTGAGCAAAGCAATTTTGGGTAGGGGATGAAACTACCTCTACATCCATTCTTCAAATATATCATTAGGCAATATAACCTAGCACCCACGCAACTGGTGCCAAATGCATAGAGCCAATTGGTAGGGACCTTCCTTATCTGGAAGGAGGTCCTCTTGGCAAGAATATACCTCTCCATGTTTTCCAAATGCTATTCCATGGGGTCCGCATTCATCCTTCATCTGGGGGACTACAACCTCAATAAAAAGCTAGAAGTCATCTTGGTTCTGGATTAGGGGTCACTAGCAGACAGTGGAGGAGAATGCAGTCCCGAAGATTACGTGTCGACCCAGTATCGTGAATATACTGAGTTTAGTTTCAATTGGAGATCTTTTGTTTATTATCTTTTTGTATTTGTTTCTAAATTATGCACTATGTAGTTACATTTAACTGGTTTGAACTCAAACCTTCTGAATGGGCTATCATTAGAGCCATTCACAAGTTGCCCACCAAGAAGAGGTATTTCAAGACTGCTTGGGAAACGAGCTCTATTTGTAACACACTTACTGATGGCGACCAAGGGTAAGTCATCATCTTGCAATAACTCTTGACAAGTTGATTTAATTTTAACTAAACCGATGGCTCGTATTTCATTCACAGAGCAACATGACAAAAGAAGTATGCCAAGCTTGACATGTTCTACATGAGGCACCTAACGGAAGAGAAGAAAAAGAAATCATTGTGCACCACCTTTTTTATCTACAAAAATCAAAGGACGAGCTATCCCATTTATTAAAGTTGATCCCATGTAACTGCACCAAATTTTCATAACACCGGAGCTTTACCAAAAATTCATTTTTCTTTACTTTACATGCGAAAAGATCAAAATAAAATTCTTTAATAAATAATATCTGCGGCATTCATAATTTAAAGTAAGCATAGCAATTGTATCTGAAAAACAACAATAAACACGTCTTAAAATAAGTTAAAAAATAATTATGAAGGCAGAAAAATTTATTCTTTGTTCCTACGATCCTTTTGGCACCCCCGCATCACCGCCCTACCACAAATCCAATTGACCTACACTAACCTATAAGATTTAGTGTAAGAGTGAATATTTAAAAATATCTAGTAAGATACGTGTAGTTTCCATAGACAATTATATAGCAATAAAGTAAATACTTCATACCACATTTCTTTTATGGAGTATGTCGGTGACTAAGTAACACATCCATTATCTGTCATTTTGAATTCCCAAACGATTTCACATCTCGTTATAAAGAACCCAAAAGAGTTCACATTCCGTTAGGTCGATCAAAAGGTCCATTTGGCAATTCATGCATAAATTATTGAACACATAAAAGTATACAGAAACAACCACTTGCATAAAAATATCTTACCTGATTGTTTAAAAAATTTTGTGATGGACCGGAAATGCACATGAAACACCCCTTTGCTATACTTCCTTCTCTCTGACTTGACTATTTATTTTCTTTAGGTAAGAAAAAGCTTTTTGGAATTTCTGTAGGTATATTCTTGGAACCCGTGACCTTTTTATAGGTGTGGCTAGAGTACAAGATAAGTTCTATTTGAAATAGATTTGATTTGATTTAATCATAATCCCGATAGATGACAATGAAAATTGATACAAAGTAAATCAATTACAAATGTTTAATATATCCATTCTACATACATGTGCCCTCTCATTTAAATTCTATTGAAAGTGGGACATTGGAACATCACATCATGGTGTACTTTTTAGTCAAAATGAAATTTCTTGTCAAAGCAAAGATTGGGATTAACCTGTTAGAACACTACACATGGCCACCCTCGAGTGAAATGGGAAAGCGGGACACTGTAGCGAACATAAACTCTAGGTGTACTATTACACTTAAACTCTTATCCCTATTAACCAAAAAGATTTACCTATACCTACCTAGAACACACACGTACGTGGCTGATCTTCAAATTGAAGAAAAAAAAAAGGAATCAACTAAATCCAAATGAGTTTGAGATTATCTACAATACTATTATAATATAGTTTATATTCCAAAAGAAATCCTCCAATAGAATAAACATTCTATCTTTATTTTAATAAAGATTATGCTTAAACAAAAGGTGACATAATTAATCAACAGTTTTTGCCGAGAATCTCTAACGAAAGGAAATTATATTAATTCCTAATTCCATTTAATCTTGTTTTCTTTCAATTGGGTCTAACTTAAAGTGATTTTATCCAAAAACAACTTTTTATCGAGCTAAAAATTTCTAATTAATAACGAGCTACAAAATGAGTCCAATATTGATATATTAAATCTTGCTCTATAAAAATCTAATTATTAGACACAAATAAAAAAAGGAATTTAAACTTATTTCATTTTAGTTACATAATTTTTTTTCCAAAATAATAAAATATACTATATGAAACAAATAGCTTTTATTTTTAAATTTTTGGGACATTACAATCTCCCCTTCTTAAAAGAATTTTATCCTCGAAATTTACCTGCATTCGATTCCTCTGGTGCCTCATCTTGGATTAAAGCAAAAACTCTGGCATTCCCTTTGTTTTCTTGCTCATCATCTTTCTTTGGGGGGCTTCTTTGTAGTTTTTAGCAGTATAACCTGTCTTACCGCATCGGTAGCACATATTGCTCCCCAATAAACATTCACCCCTATGTGTCTTCTTGCACTTTGAACAGGGCAAAACCATTTGTCCAATTCTTGACCCAATGTTAATTTTCTTATTCTATCCATGTCCTTTCTCTTTATTGGACCCATACCATTTTCATTTTCCCGAAGGCTCGACGTATTGTTGCGAACTTTGGTCAATCTCTAACCTATTTGAGATTGTTTGGGCAGTTTGCAAAACTCGACTATAGGTGGTAAATTGGTAGGATGCCATTATTCTACCAATCTTCGGACGCAATCATAGTTTGAATCTCCTTGGTTTCTTTGCCTCCGCGTCCACTAGATGTGATGCATACCTAGAGAGTTGGTCGAATTTTCTCTTGTATTCAAGCTTCATCTTTCTTTGCTTAAGTTGAAGGAACTCTGTTTCCTTTCGATCCCTCAAGGCTTGTGGGAAGTATTTTCCTATCACTTTATCATTAAATTGTGTCCAAGTCAGAACATCTTGTTGTGCTTCTGTTCTAGTATGAGATGCTAACTCCCACCAGTGGCCTACAGTGTCAGCCAACATGAATTCTGTACATAACACTTTTTGAGGATTAGTGCAAGATAGATGTTTGAAGATTCACTCCATTCCTCTTATCCATTTTTCAGCTGCTAGTGGGTCTGCCTTGCCATTGAAAATTGGGGGTTTGTAGCGATAGAGTTGTTCCACAATTAAGCTAATGTTGTTAGTGTTTACACTATGGGGACCAGTTTGTGCTTGTTGCCTACCCAAATCTTGTACCACCCTTAGCAAATCCCTGATGAGCATAGCTTGATTTTGTTGTTGTCTTGACATTTTCTTAACACAAATAAAATTTTAATTTAGGAATATTTGATAAAACAACCTAATATTATTAATAATCTTTGTAATAATGAAGAACTTTAAAATATAAATTTCCAAATCCTTACATATAATAATTTGCTTTTCAAAAAATCAAATAAATAAATAAACAATTAAACTTTTCCTAAATAAATAAATAACACTTTGTTTCAATGAGTCCTAAAAATATTCTTTCTATGGTGTTTCATCATCCGAAGTAATACATGACTCTGGCTCAGAATTTGCAACTAAATCAATGAAATTTTTTGGTTGGATTTCTTGCTCAGGTTCTTCCAGCTCTAGTTTGATCCCCTCCTCTTGGTCTTCCTCTAACTCTGGCTCTGGTTCGGGTTCGGGCTCGGGCGCCGATTCTTGTTGTCTGTGATTCCATAAAATTATAATATCCTCATAGTATCCTTTAAAATCA